AGAAGCAACTCTTGACAATACCTTGCAATCTATGTTTAATTTAGTAAACTTACACAGAAAATGTTAAAGTGTTTTTACAAGTATTATTTGTGTCCAATACTTTCTTACAGGGGCGTAGCTAAGGGTCGTCCATTATTTATGTCAACAAAAGGGGGAAGGGGTTTGGGAAATGCTTGACAATTGGTTAAAAGGGGAACAAAAAAAAGGGGGGGGGGTAGATTAGTTGACGTCAACAATCAGGTTTTCTCTTTTTAATTTGTAACTTTAAAAATAGAATGGTTAATTAATTATTTAATAACTTCAATGATTGTAAATTAAAATAGTTATATAATTTTTAGGCTTTTAACAATATAAGATTTATTTAATGTGTGTCTGTCTGTGCACTGCAGATAGCTGGTCAGAATGTTAGCACACTTTGTTAGTGCAAGAGAAGTCAAAACTTGGCCTCTCTTCACCTGTACATTCTCTTTGACAAGGTTCAAGTGTCATGTGCAGTCAAGGTAAATCATTATTGATAGAGTAGGAATATGATATTTAGAGAATTATGGGAAAGTAAATTGAGTAACAATAATAACATTGGTGCTTGGATGGCTTTGCAAAATCTGTAACATCTTTTTTGCATCACAAATCATGTTGAAATAGCATCTAAACAGCAGGGGCAATGCATAAGAAATTGCCACCTGCTCCTCAACAAAAAGGTTTCGACTAATGCAAGAATGCCAGGATAGAGAAGGAGCTCACGTCAACTAATTATCACAATGACAATGCTTCTATGGAGCTCATGTCAACTAATTATCACACTGACAATGCTTCTATGGAGCTCATGTCAACTAATTATCACACTGACAATGCTTCTATGGAGCTCACGTCAACTAATTATCACACTGACAATGCTTCTATGGAGCTCACGTCAACTAATTATCACACTGACAATGCTTCTATGGAGCTCACGTCAACTAATTATCACACTGACAATGCTTCTATGGAGCTCACGTCAACTAATTATCACACTGACAATGCTTCTATGGAGCTCATGTCAACTAATTATCACACTGACAATGCTTCTATGGAGCTCATGTCAACTAATTATCACAATGACAATGCTTCTATTTTATAATGATGAATAGTTAGATGAGGATAATGTTGATTTGCCTGGTATATCAGTTCTGTGGGTTGAAAATGATAAATCAGCTACCATGCCCATTGGGACGATATAGAGCAACACCTGGCTAATCCCTGGGGAGATGATAGCAGCTGGAAACTATGTTACGATTGTCAGCTGTACTGACATTAATCCTACGTATTCTTCCACAAACAATGATATTTAGTCTTTAACAACCTTTTCAATGATTCTGCATTATAAAATTTAAGTGAAAATTTTTTTTAACTTGTTAATTAACAAGCTAAAGATGTAAGGAAATGTTTTTCCTCCAATTTCGTGTTATTAAAATAGATCAGCACAAAGTAAAATGTATTAATATATTTATTTATATTATTTTTATATATCTTTTTGGGGGGTTAAGGTTATACAAATTTGGACATAACTACTTGGGGCTGGGGGGGGGTGTCATTGAAAGTTTGACCGTTGTTGACAAGAGGGAGAGGGTCAAAAATTGTTTTAAAATTGCTGACGAAATTAATGGACGCCACCTTGGGGGTGTGGACCACACGGTGTGACACCATCTGTGTGAAACCATCTGTGTGATAAGTGACACCTTATTGAAATATTGAAAATATGCGTATTGACAGCACACACACAGCTCGGTCAAACTGAAGTTCACAAGAGGATCACCGACCACACTGAAATGTTCCACATAATGTAACCAAGATAAATGCCTGATTTTTTTACAAGTTCAAGTTTGCGATGCACCACAATACAGTCATCGCTTTCTGATCTGTCTCTGCTAGACATTCATTTGAAAGGGAAGGAATTTTATTTTGATAAATTGATTTTTTTAAAGTGAAAATTTTAAATAAAGTAAATTTAATGTAAAGAAACAACTATAACTTAACGGTGTTACAATTCTTAAATACACTGACCTTCAAATAATTTGTGTTTGTTCCTGTCATTGTTAAACTATTTACCTTTTTTTTTTTTTACGAGAAGAAATCCATCGGAAAAGGGAGAGGGGGGGGGGGTGTTACCATGAGTTTACCCAAACCGGGAGACACCAATCCTAGCTAGGCCACAATGCTAAGACTAGCTACAATATCAATATATATTTTTTTTATAAAGACCAACGGATCATACAACATGCAAGTACACAGGACTTACCCCATGATGATTGTTCATCAGAACCGCAAATTGTTGGTAAGCTGTTACAATGTGTTCCCGTCAAATAGTTATGAAACTCCATAGGCGTAGACACTCAAAAGTTTGACAGTGTCATTTTGACCTCTGAGTGTCTAGAACACAACTGAATCCATGGATTGTGTGGATGTTATTGACTATAGTGGATACGCTACTTCTTGGTTGGGTGTGAATGGGGATGTTGCTTTTGATGTTAGTGTAGATGTAAGTGTCGACATTAATGGGGATGTTGCTTTTGATGTTAGTGTAGATGTAAGTGTCGACATTAATGGGGATGTTGCTTTTGATGTTAGTGTAGATGTAAGTGTCGACATTAATGGGGATGTTGCTTTTGATGTTAGTGTAGATGTAAGTGTCGACATTAATGGGGATGTTGCTTTTGATGTTAGTGTAGATGTAAGTGTCGACATTAATGGGGATGTTGCTTTTGATGTTAGTGTAGATGTAAGTGTCGACATTAATGGGGATGTTGCTTTTGATGTTAGTGTAGATGTAAGTGTCGACATTAATGGGGATGTTGCTTTTGATGTTAGTGTAGATGTAAGTGTCGACATTAATGGGGATGTTGCTTTTGATGTTAGTGTAGATGTAAGTGTCGACATTAATGGGGATGTTGCTTTTGATGTTAGTGTAGATGTAAGTGTCGACATTAATGGGGATGTTGCTTTTGATGTTAGTGTAGATGTAAGTGTCGACATTAATGGGGATGTTGCTTTTGATGTTAGTGTAGATGTAAGTGTCGACATTAATGGGGAGGATTGTGTGAAAGTTATTGAGGATGTAAATGCAAGTTTAAATTGAAAGATTCATGTTGTTGTCATTGTTGATGTTGTCCTTTGCTGTGCTTCCAATTATTATTTTTAAGCAAAAACAGTAGGCACACTGATTTGATCGAGACAAGCCATAGCATAGTCCTCAAAGTTGCTGCTTCTGAATGAACTTAATTTTAAATATTTGTTGTTGTTTTTTTTTTGTTGTTTTTTTTTGGTTACCGGTAGGATGTTACTTTCCCCTTATGTAAAGGTTATTGGAATAGATAGGCAAATTATGAATGAAAAAATGTTTGTGATTACATTTTATCTTACAAATAAAGTATTTAATGGGGTCAAATAGAGTTAAACATGTGTGTGCGTTCTGTTAAAATAATTAAGCAGAGGTCCTCAAACATTCGGGATGATGCGCCACTTAAATTACTTGACTTCTAGATGAAGAAGCATGTTCAATAAGATAATATTATTTAGTCGTTAGTTTTCATATACCGTGGTGGTGGAGATCGCACCTCCGACACACACAGCCCCCCCCCCCACACAATGCATCCTGTGGTTAACCACCCAATCTCCACCCTCTCTCCCTACACCCGTGGGTGGAACCCAGTTGTGGTATCACAATGGAACTGGATGATGCGCCCCTTAAAATACTTGAATTCTAGATGAAGAAGCATGTTCAATAAGATAATATTATTTAGTCGTTAGTTTTCATATACCGTGGTGGGGGAGATCGCACCTCCGACACACACAGCCCCCCCCCCCACACAATGCATCCTGTGGTTAACCACCCAATCTCCACCCTCTCTCCCTACACCCGTGGGTGGAACCCAGTTGTGGTATCACAATGGAACTGGCTGCTTATGGTCTTGTAAAATGACATGTCGATACTAGCGTCACCCCAACAAAGAGAACATTAAATATGCTACAGGGCAACATTTGGAAATCTAAATGAGCTACAATATAAACTGCTGGTAAACGCATCATGAGAACTCATCATAATACCGAGTACCGGTACCATTTTCCTCCTCGCGTTGTGCCCTGCGTGATATCTTTAGCTAGCCCTTGTTTTCTTGGCCATACCCTTCCCGTTTGCGCTTTTTTACAGACACCAGGAGGTCATCATAGCGCCCAAATGCTCGACGTATCCTTTCTTTGACTTGCTCGTTAGAGATATGGGCTCTAAAGCAGATTTCAAGAATGCATCTGAAACATCTCGTCTTCATCACCTTTATTTTTCTTTCAAATTCTGCTGTTATTGTACAGGACTCACAGGCATACAAGAGAATGGAAAGGACTAATGAGCGCATCAGCCTGATTTTGGTGCTGGGGGGCATTCCATTTTTTCTTAAGCCTCTTTAGTGCTGTTTCGGTTCGGGCAATCCTAAAAATCTATTCTGACTTGGAGGCTTCTTCCGAGAATACTGCTCCTAGGTACTTGAGGCTCCCTACTGTCTCTAATCTTATGAAACCATGCTTTTCTTCGTCTAAATGATGATATAGCATTTTTGCGTTCATTGTAACAATATTATGTATAACTTTGAAAAAAAAAATTACGATGGATCAAAGGTTTAAACACAGAATAAAATTGTCATTTCAAACTTTCTTTTTGCGTTTTCTCTAGTGTTTGTTTTTTCATGTGTGTTGATGGCAGAATCAAAATATTTTGTGAATGGCCTGATAGATTTTTAAAAAATGTTTAATATATGCTTATTATATATGTATTTCTTTACACACTTAAAAGGATTCGCACAGAATATGCACTGTTAACAAGTTCTTGAGTCTTTACAAATTCTAAGACGGAAGATACATTTAATATATATCGTAAAACTAAAAAATTCTCTGATATATCTTTTTTTTCCCCAAGATTTCTTTATTTCCTTCTAACAGTGTATGCATTTTGATGATGCAAAGTGGCACACAAATTATTTTTCATAAGGTATTAATAGTTTTTTTTTTTTTAAATGATGATTCTATGAAAATATTTTAGAACTGCAACTTCTGACACATTTAATCAAATCAAAAGCAAAAAATTTAATTTTTCTAAAAAATCTGACTTAATTTCATGTGTTGAAAAAAACTATTTCGTATTAACTAATGAGAAAAGAAGCAGATTTTATTGGGTGTTAAATATTTTAGCATTTTGGCTACACCTCCCCCCTTAAAAAGAATCCTCGAGCGATTGGATGAAACACTAAATTTTTTACTTTTCAAAGATGAGATATTATTTCATTAAAAACGAAAACATTTTTTAAAAAGTACACACTATTTCTAGGTGACCAGTCTGTGTTCATGGTTGAGTGAATCAGATGCCCATGATAAACAGGGCACCGATGAAAAATGCCATTAAATAAAGAAGAAAGAGTCGCCATTTCCTTCCAACCAGCCAGGGTTGCTTGTCTGAAAAAAAAATAAATAAAAATGTCTGCGTATTTATTATTCATGTAAAATAAAACATTGTTGGTGGAATTGGGAGGGGGGAGGGCAATTCCTCTGAGGGGTACACTATCATTTTATATATTTATGAATAATTATATGCGATAAAATAGAATTACTGACGTCACTCTCCCCTTCCATCTTGTACAAAATTGATAAAATCCAACCCGTATTTTACTCTAGACAAGAAATGCCTTCACTTACTTTGACTTGAAGGGATTGCGAATCGCCATATCCTGCTTGTTGGTTGCGATGGATACATAACAGCAGCAGCGTGCTGCGTCGGGGTGACCTAAATAATTGAAATAAGCGAGTATTAGTGGACGAGATACTAAGTGGTAACATAGCACAGCTCGGTCATCTTGTCTAGTTATTACCGTTAACTAAAATATATTTCTGTGAGCTGACGATTAGAAATCATCAATTAGATATACAAAATAAATCAAACTTTATCAATATCAAATTTATGGCTTACATGTGTTGAAATAAACATAAAATGTATCAATATTTCTATAGTAGCATACAAGAGAAAAAAAATGTATATATGTAAGCCTACCGTTAAGTCCAGTGTTCTCCGCGTAGTAGAACGCCTCGTATCAGAACTAGCTCTCCTCGTCTGTGGATTTGAAAAGTAGAATGTTACGTACTGTCATCAATATGGAGAAATTAATCTCTCATTTAAAAATATGGCTCGTTCTAAAATAATACACGGTAAAAGACAATACCATATGATAAATGCAATAACTTGAATAAAAAAGAATACGAGACTTAAACCAGGGCTAATTACAATTAATAAGTTTTATTAACTTGATATCAAGTTACAAAATCAAAAAGAAATATAATTAAAGCTATTGAATTACAGAATAATGTTTGGCTTGTACCGGTCCAGTGTCAAAGTAGATATAACGTTGTAAAAATGTACAATGATGAAAAGGTATCTACACACAGACAGTAAACAAAGCGTTCTAGCAAAAATAGCACACGTTCAACATAACTCTCGTCCGTCGTCTGGTCCTGTCGTTCAATCCCTCGGCTTTATATATATTCTAGCAGGTCGACGCATTGTACTCGCTTCCCGCTGCTTCTACAATATTCTACAAAATCGAATCACGATGCAGACTATAGATTTTATTTAGGTGTAGCCTAGGTCAAAGGGAGACTATAATTAGTAATCCATGCCATACTGATAGCGCAGACGAACTTGGGGTCAGCATAAGTTCATTCACCAGAAAATATGAATGAAAGTAAATGGGGCGCAATAACAAGAACATTGCATTTTTTTTTTTTAAATAAACCAGCAATGCATAATTTATTGTGTCTTTTATTAATATATTTACTTTTATGTCCCTGCAAAAATCATTATATTGCTCTACATGGCCATCTTTTCTCATCCACATTTATACTCAAATAAATAATAACACCAATAACCCGAAGGAAACACTACAGACGATATGATGTGCGGTGAAGTAAAGTTGTGACTGGTCTAAATATTACTGCTGCTATATCTAACGAATTACTTGTGAACTCTGAAAACTCTACTAGCAACAGAATGACGGTCAATAGAATAGAATGAGGAAAAATAATTTTATTTTTTTTAATTATTAAAAACTGACCAATGTCGTCTCAGCCGCCCTTCGCCTGTCTGTGACAGAAGAGCTTCTTGCCCCAACTCTTTGCGGCCCTGATGAAAAAATAATAATAATAGGTGGGACTGGAATCAGTTAGTCCATTTCTATTATTTAGCCACAAACTTTCTCCAAACAAAGAATTTCTCCTTCCCTAAAATAAAATTTAAAAAATATCAAAAGAATTCAGACGCAGAGCGTCATGTCACTGCATCTCCCAACCTCACACTTTGGACGCAGAGCGTCATGTAACTGCATCTCCCAACCTCACACTTTGGACGCAGAGCGTCATGTCACTGCATCTCCGAACATCACACTTTGGACGCAGAGCGTCATGTCACTGCATCTCCCAACCTCACACTTTGGACGCAGAGCGTCATGTCACTGCATCTTCCAACCTCACACTTTGGACGCAGAGCGTCATGTCACTGCATCTCCCAACCTCACACTTTGAGTTTCACGCGAAAGAAACACTGGTGGGACCATTAGATGGGAACAATAGGTGGGAACATTAGATGGGAACATAAGATGGGAACATTAGATGGGAACATAAGATGGAAACATTAGATGGGAACATAAGATGGGAACATTAGATGGGAACATAAGATGGGAACATTAGATGGGAACATAAGATGGGAACATTAGATGGGAACATAAGATGGGAACATTAGATGGGAACATTAGGGTGAAACATTAGGTGGGAACATTAGATTGTATCATTTGGTGGGACCATTAGATGGGAACATAAGATGGGAACATTATGTAGGAACATTAGATTGGATCATTTGGTGGGAACATTAGATGGGAACATTAGGTGGGAACATTAGATGGGAACATTATGTAGGAACATTAGATTGGATCATTTGGTGGGACCATTAGATGGGAACATAAGATGGGAACATTAGATGGGAACATTAGGTGGGAAATTAGGTGGGAACATTATGTAGGAACATTACGTGGGACCATTAGGTGGTACCATTAGGTTGAAACATTACGTGGGACCATTAGGTGGGACCATTAGGTTGAAACATTACGTGGGACCATTAGGTGGGACCATTAGGTTGAAACATTACGTGGGACCATTAGGTGGGACCATTAGGTTGAAACATTACGTGGGACCATTAGGTGGGACCATTAGGTTGAAACATTACGTGGGACCATTAGGTGGGACCATTAGGTTGAAACATTACGTGGGACCATTAGGTGGGACCATTAGGTTGAAACATTACGTGGGACCATTAGGTGGGACCATTAGGTTGAAACATTACGTGGGACCATTAGGTGGGACCATTAGGTTGAAACATTACGTGGGACCATTAGGTGGGACCATTAGGTTGAAACATTACGTGGGACCATTAGGTGGGACCATTAGGTTGAAACATTACGTGGGACCATTAGGTGGGACCATTAGGTTGAAACATTACGTGGGACCATTAGGTGGGACCATTAGGTTGAAACATTACGTGGGACCATTAGGTGGGACCATTAGGTTGAAACATTACGTGGGACCATTAGGTGGGACCATTAGGTTGAAACATTACGTGGGACCATTAGGTGGGACCATTAGGTTGAAACATTACGTGGGACCATTAGGTGGGACCATTAGGTTGAAACATTACGTGGGACCATTAGGTGGGACCATTAGGTTGAAACATTACGTGGGACCATTAGGTGGGACCATTAGGTTGAAACATTACGTGGGACCATTAGGTGGGACCATTAGGTTGAAACATTACGTGGGACCATTAGGTGGTACCATTAGGTTGAAACATTACGTGGGACCATTAGGTGGTACCATTAGGTTGAAACATTACGTGGGACCATTAGGTGGTACCATTAGGTTGAAACATTACGTGGGACCATTAGGTGGGACCATTAGGTTGAAACATTACGTGGGACCATTAGGTGGGACCATTAGGTTGAAACATTACGTGGGACCATTAGGTGGTACCATTAGGTTGAAACATTACGTGGGACCATTAGGTGGGACCATTAGGTTGAAACATTACTTGGGACCATTAGGTGGGACCATTAGGTTGAAACATTACGTGGGACCATTAGGTGGTACCATTAGGTTGAAACATTACGTGGGACCATTAGGTGGGACCATTAGGTTGAAACATTACGTGGGACCATTAGGTGGGACCATTAGGTTGAAACATTACGTGGGACCATTAGGTGGGACCATTAGGTTGAAACATTACGTGGGACCATTAGGTGGTACCATTAGGTTGAAACATTACGTGGGACCATTAGGTGGGACCATTAGGTTGAAACATTACGTGGGACCATTAGGTGGGACCATTAGGTTGAAACATTACGTGGGACCATTAGGTGGGACCATTAGGTTGAAACATTACGTGGGACCATTAGGTGGTACCATTAGGTTGAAACATTACGTGGGACCATTAGGTGGGACCATTAGGTTGAAACATTACGTGGGACCATTAGGTGGGACCATTAGGTTGAAACATTACGTGGGACTATTAGGTGGGACCTCTAGAGGGGACCATTAGGTGGGACCATTTGGTGTGGTGAAATTGTATTTTTCTTTCAAATTGCACTGATTTTTAATTTAATTTTAGTTGCTAATATTCTCTTCTGTTAGTTGATAGATTTAGTTTTGGATTACATTGGACAGATGTGTTGGGATTAAACCCCATTCTTCAACCAGACTTACTTTCAAGACATTTTAAATTGAGTCTTACTTATTTATGCGTTAAAAACTTTAAAGATTACAAAAGTCTAGCTATAGTTATTTTTAATATTGAGCTATTGTATATGTTCCTATTAAAAGATCTCCAAGAAACATGACATAGATATTATTGAGATTGCAGTAAAAAAAAAAAATGTTATCTGTCGAAATGTTGCCATGGTTACTATGTAACACGAAAGTAACACACTTACATGGAGGGACAATGAAACACGTGAATTAAACAAATAGTGGGTGGAAGTGGATGGAAGTGGGGGAAGTGGGTGGAAGTGGTTGGAAGGGGGTGGTAAGTCCTCTGAGTGGCACTCTGTCTTTATATGAATAATTAAACCAAAGAAAATAGAATTATTGACATCAATTTCTGCGGTACTACCTCCTTGCCATCTTGTGGACGGCCCTTACAATAAACATTATAAGACCTTTGCTGAACTTTACTCACTGTGAGAAGAGCAGGGTCTCCCATCCTTGGATTTTCGATTACAATACCCTCCATATGCCGTCGGGCGTCCACACGTGCCCTAAATTATTGGAATGATGAATATAACGTGAGATTATTTGTACAGATACATTACAAACGTTATGACTAAGGGAGTTCAATGAATGCTTGATGATTTGTACAGATACATTACAAACGTTATGACTAAGGGAGTTCACTGAATGCTTGTTGAAATAATTTAACGTAGATGTCTCGTCTTTAAATTGTTCTGGATTACAAATTTGGACTTTTTAAAATCATGTATTTATTGATGTGCTTAAAATGTATAATAATAATAATAATATGTAGCCTACAATGTTTGGATCAATAAAAGATTCCTATCATATATCCAGCTTTATGGTACGCCTACATGTGTTAAAATAAATTCAAACTTTCATAAAATGTTCTTAGTACAATAAAGTCTAAAACTATCTATTTAAGCTTACAGGTAGAATATCTGGTTGAATCATGTTTCTGTTTTCTCTCTGCCACCAATACCGACAACTGACAAACCTGGTGGGAGGCTGCGGGAAAAGGATTATTCAGACATTGACCATATTATTACACTTGGGTTGGATTAAAAGGGCTAGCTAGCTGTTTTTATACACTAAATTTTTCAGAGACTTAAAATTCAAACAGTGTGGGGCGTTCGTTGCAATTATTTTTGGTGCAATATTACTAGCTACAATCGGAAAAATCATTTTAAAGTGCAATAACGCTGCCACAATATATTCCAAAGCCCGGGATCTGTGTGGTGAATCACACACTCTCGTTTTCTGACACAGCTTTATGTGTTTCAATTTTTACAATATCCCCAGCAGAGGAAATAGGTAATGGTATTGTATATCAATCAAATCTCTCATATCAATTAAATCTCTCATATCAATCAAATCTCTCATATCAATCAAATCTCTCATATCAATCAAATCTCTCATATCAATCAAGTCTCTAATATCAATCAAGTCTCTCATATCAATCAAATCTCTCATATCAATTGTTATAGAGAGCTTGTTTACATAATATTTCTAGTGCGTGCCCTCTGATTGACCCCGCATGAGACGCTGAGCTCACAAAGGGGTGTGGCTTAGGCCTTTGAAGTATCTTGTTTACAATCGGCTTCCAATTGTCTCCGGGTAATTTCTCGAATGTACTCCTTAACCCGAGATATGTAAACAACACGTTATACGTCCTTCTGGAAGCGTCTTACGCTACATGTATATAAGGATTGACAGATACAGAAAAGAGGGAGATTTTCAGATAGATTTTCTTAACATTACGAGGCGTGTTTTATTCTTTGTGTATTTGTGTGCTCCTACTTATATGTGTTTATTTCGCATTATTTATTGGCATCATTATTTCTAATTCTATTAACTGTGTACCGGTACGAGATCTACCATACTGTAAGTTGAAGATTGTAATTATATTTTTCTTTTCTTTTGTAATTATTTTAGACATAATAAATCTTAATTAATTGTAACTAGAAACTGTTTTGGGTCGTATCTTTAATATTGTTGATTCTATGGTATCGTCCTTTGTTAGGCACTGTTTACAACGAGCCAATTAAAATTAAAATAGGAGATTAATTTCTCCCAATACAAGTCAGTGCGTAACATCAATCAAGTCTCTCATGTCAAACAAGTCTCTCATATCAATCAAATCTCTCATATCAATCAAATCTCTCATATCAATCAAATCTCTCATATCAATCAAATCTCTCATATCAATCAAATCTCTAATCTCAATCAACTCTTTCCTATCAATCAAATCTCTCCTATCAATCAAATCTCTCCTATCAATCAAATCACTCATATCAATCAAATCTCTCCTATCAATCAAATCTCTCCTATCAATCAAATCTCTCATATCAATCAAATCTCTCACATCAATCAAATCTCTCATATCAATCAAATCTCTCATATCAATCAAGTCTCTCACACCAATCAAGTCTCTCATATCAATCAAATCTCTCATATCAATCAAATCTCTCCTATCAATCAAATCTCTCATATCAATCAAATCTCTCATATCAATCAAATCTCTCACATCAATCAAATCTCTCATATCAATCAAATATCTCATATCAATCAAATCTCTCATTTCAATCAAATCTCTCATATCAATCAAATCTCTCATACCAATCAAGTTTCTCATATCAATCAAGTCTCTCATGTCAAACAAGTCTCTCATATCAATCAAATCTCTCATATCAATGAAATCTCTCATATCAATCCAAATCTCTCATATCAATCAAATCTCTCATATCAATCAAATCTCTCATTTCAATCAAATCTCTCATATCAATCAAATCTTTGATATCAATCAAATCTCTCATATCAATCAAGTCTCTCATATCAATCAAGTCTCTCATATCAATCAAGTCTCTCATATCAATCAAGTCTCTCATGTCAAACAAGTCTCTCATATCAATCAAATCTCTCATATCAATCAAAACTCTCATTTCAATCAAATCTCTCATATCAATCAAATCTTTGATATCAATCAAATCTCTCATATCAATCAAGTCTCTCACACCAATCAAGTCTCTCATATCAATCAAGTCTCTCATATCAATCAAGTCTCTCATGTCAAACAAGTCTCTCATATCAATCAAATCTCTCATATCAATCAAATCTCTCATATCAATCAAATCTCTCATATCAATCAAAACTCTCATTTCAATCAAATCTCTCATATCAATCAAATCTTTGATATCAATCAAATCTCTCATATCAATCAAGTCTCTCACACCAATCAAGTCTCTCATATCAATCAAGTCTCTCATATCAATCAAGTCTCTCATGTCAAACAAGTCTCTCATATCAATCAAATCTCTCATATCAATCAAATCTCTCCTATCAATCAAATCACTCATATCAATCAAATATCTTCTCTCAATCAAATCACTCATATCAAACAAATCTATCATATCAATCAAATCTCTCATATCAATCAAATCTCTCATATCAATCAAATCTCTCATATCAATCAAATCTCTCATATCAATCAAATCTCTCATATCAATCAAATCTCTCATATCAATCAAATCTCTCATTTCAATCAAATCTCTCATATCAATCAAATCTTTGATATCAATCAAATCTCTCATATCAATCAAGTCTCTCATATCAATCAAGTCTCTCATATCAATCAAGTCTCTCATATCAATCAAGTATCTCATGTCAAACAAGTCTCTCATATCAATCAAATCTCTTATATCAATGAAATCTCTCATATCAATCAAATCTCTCATATCAATCAAATCTCTCATATCAATCAAAACTCTCATTTCAATCAAATCTCTCATATCAATCAAATCTTTGATATCAATCAAATCTCTCATATCAATCAAG